TGAGCTGGGGAGAAGCTCTAGCCTTGACCATTGGAATTGTCATCTGCCGGGACCTTGTTTATCCTAGGAATCTAGTAGGTAAGATAAGTCACTTCTTTTTCAACCTTTGATTGAAACTTTACAAGACATAGTTTCATGCAAACGGGGCTGGTATTACAGTACTGAGTTTAGAGGTTAGACGGCCCTGTAAATTATTATTTGCCCTTTTGATCCACTAGAGGGAGCCAACCCCAAGCATTTGAACTTCAGTTTTGGACAAAAATAAATTTGTGAGGCTGCAGATCATTTCACTGACAAGCCATTGGATACTGATTTAACTCAGGAATCCGGGTCTCCTCCAGGACAAAATTACTCCCTCATAGCGTAATACGTCTAAGATAAACGGTGCAGAATGTGTCACGTTGTGGTTGGTCCAGAAAAGGTGTTCATCAACCACCCACCAGTCTTTGGAAAAGCAATGTGGCCTAAATGAGTTCAACTGGAGTCTGGTACCAAGGTAGAAACTAAACAGCCTTTCTTTTTGCTTGTGCTATATCTGGCAAAATAACTAAGTATCCAAAGCTCAGTTTCTTCCTAAGATTGACTGTTGCTACCTCATAATGTTATTGTTGAGATGAATTGGAAATAACACTTCTGTAATGCTTAGCATGTGCTTGAAGCAAAGTAAGAACACAGTACATATGCAAAATAGTTTTGAGCCATAATTTCAGGCAAGAGGAATTTAACATTCTTGAGCTGCAAAGAAGAAAGAGTTCAAGATAAAGTTACAACTTAAAGTGCAAGGTTTGGGGACCACTCTTCTCTCCAATATTACTCTTGACTAAGACATTGCTTTTTCCCTTTGGCTATCCCAGAGACCTCATCATCTTCTGTGCCATATATTATACTAAAAGTGTATTACAGGTAATACTGTCAACTCGTCCTAGTTTCCTTAGAAGGATCATTAGCCTTGTAGTCACCCACCACATCTGGCTCATGCTTTTCTGCCCCTCTGATGCAATCGTAGCTGAGCCTTGGAAGGATAGGATGTGTGGTATAGACCTCTGCTTCATGGCTGAAAATTCTGAAGCTTCTTATTCTTTGTTCATCAACAAGTTGTAGGTCTGTGTTCACTACTTTCTACTGAAAAAAAAATCTTCAGAAACTATTGGCAATTGATAGCTGTTGGAATAAGGAGCGTCAGTTTTTAAACCGTGCCTCCACAAAGGCTGCACATCCAAGAGTAGATATGCAGCACCAAGTCAATTTGAAGGATTGAAACATTAAAGAGGACACAAAATCAGGTGGGCAGGGGGAGGAGTGTGGCTCCTGGAGGAGTTGGAGTAGGGGGATGAATGTGATCAAAATGTGTTCTACAGAATTCCCAAAGAACTAATAAAAAGTATCCATGGCTACAAAGTATTTACTTCTCTTTTGTAAGCAGTTTTATGTTTAAGGATGTAGTTGCATTTCTCTTATTTGGTCACAATCTAAGTTCCCCAAACCCCTTCTTAACTATCACGTAAAATTTACTCCTGATACCTGGGCCCTTAAAATTTTCCTTCTATAAAATATCATGAAAATTGTCCTTGCATGACATAATCAAACCCTGCCAAGTTTAAGAAAAATCAGTTCTAAGTTGTTGAAAACATCGTTCCTATTTGCTCTTTGGTTAAGCAATTTACCTAAAGACATGCCAAGAAAGACACAGGGCAATTAAGTCCATGTCAACTCATAACCAAAAACGAGGAAAGAACCACATATGCCACAAAAGTCTAGAGTCAGTCTTAATCATTATTTGCTTAATGATCTTTGAGATGTACGTATGTGTGCATTTAAATTTTGGACTGAGGTATGTAGACAATTCTGTTTCTAGGTATAGAAATACAATATGGGAGAAAGAGGATAAGATTTGGCATTAGAAAGTTCTAGATTCAAATACAGCAAGACGAAAAAGTTCTGTAGCCTGTATGGGCTTCACTGTGTTTGTCCGTAAAATAGTTTTGTTTATTTCCGGCATGCACTGCTATTGGAAGTAGGAGAGTTAATGTGATGTGGGTTTTGTGTGTGTGTGTGTGTGTGTGTGTCTGTCTGTCTGTCTGTAAGAGAAAGAGAGAGGCAGACAGACAGAGACAAAGACAGAGACAGAGAGACAGAGACAGAAATCCAGAGAGACAGATATAGATTGACAGACAGACAAATGGAGAGACACAAACAGACAGATAAACAGACAGGCATAGTCTTAGTGTGGCTGTATCTGCATTCTTTGCATTGCCATGTAGTCTCTGCTCAGGCACTTTGAACAGTCGATCTGTCACAAGGATTCCACACACCAGTCATAAGTCAGAAAATGCACTTCAGCAGTTTAAGAAATAGATGGTGAGGAAAATGTTAAAAATAAGTAAGTTCTTTCATGTTTTGAAAGTGAGAATCTTTTATTTTTTTTTTTTTGAAAGTGAGAAGGGAAATTTTCCCTAACTGTGAATATAAACACATGGGAAAATGTAGTGAGACAAAAATTTCATTTGTTACAACAAATAAAATTCTGGCTTGATAAGAATGTCTTAATGACGTAATTCTGATAGTCAAGAATGTGATTATAAATTCAAGGGCTTTGTGTTTCCAAGTTCTTATCTGAAGTGGCTGATGCTGTGTCAGGATACTTGGCAAAAGGTTCAAGAAGAACAGTGTAGGTAAACGGAATCAAGAGTCCCCAATGGGCGCCCTGCCTCTTGTTAGCTCAGACATTTTTATGTCTGGACTCAGTGTTACATCCGTAAGTGAGCCTGATGCTTACTGTCAGTTGTCTGTAAAATATTCAAAGCAGAAGGTGCTAGGACAGGAGCAATGTCTTTGAAAGCTTCTGTGAAGATCCAGTCAAGGTGAGCCTGATGGTGTTTTCATGTTTCATGATGATCCAGACTGTCCTCCCGGCATAGGCAGCATCAAGTGTGTGCTGGGATATAACTCATATCTGTGTCGTATAGAACCAAGATATTTTATAAAATATAAACAGTGCCATGACTCAGTGTATATAATATGAAACATAATTTATTTAAACAATCATACAGTACAGGAAAAGAGCACTCCTTTCCTTTATGTTTGAAGACTTTTTCCTGGAGGCAACAGAAGTCTAGCGGCAGACCTTCCTCTATGCCCACAATTGCACTAGTATCATTTTAATGTATGACATCACTCACTGCTTATAACCAACCCATAGACAAGATGTAAAGATTTTACTAAACTGGAAAATGCTGTTACATGAAGGAGATAAAAGAGTGTAAGTTGTTAAAATGGAGTAGAAAGTAAGAAAGAATTAGAGAAGCATATTTATCTAATTTAGTAAGAGTACAAATTTGCTTATTAAATATTGAAAAGACATATATATATAGATATGTAGATAAATATATGTACAAAACATGCATTATTTAAAGATATATAACAAGCAATAAAGCAAAAATTTAGTGAAAGAAATACTTTATTTTTAGAGCCAGAAATTGGTACATACTATCTAAAATTCATGAATACAATGATAAAAATAATAATGGCTAACATTATTTAGCCTTTTTTTATGCTGAGCAATGCTTTATTTGCATTTAAATGTTAAATTACTTAATATTGACAATAACTCAATGATACAGGCATGTATTTCCATATTCTGGCTATGAAACTGTAAGATAGGAATATATATCTAAACTCATATATTATATATATATACATTACTCATGTATTATATACAATGTATATTGTATGCAATTATATATTGTAATACATTTACACACATACTATGTATAATGTATGTGTATATGTTTTATATAATATATAACATACAACATATAATATATCATATTATATATAGTATATGTACACACACACACACACACACACACACACACACACACACACATATATATATATATATATATATATATATATATATATATATATATATAAAATGACAGAAAAATAAGGCCAGACTATGGGGCCTGGATAGAGAAGAGAGAGGAAGAAGGCAGAGTCATGGGGAAAGGAAAACAAGATATTTCTTTTCTTTGCTATTTGGGGCCTATATAATTCATAGAGTGTACTATTTGAGGAAAGGAAGGGAGCAGCAGGAAAAGGACAGGGAAGAATATTGGAAGAAGTGAGTAAGAGAAAAGAACAAATATGTATATGCATAAAATTATCACAACAATAATAAAAAATTAACAGTAAAAATAAATGGATGCATAAAAGAATAGTAGCAAAATGGGATTAAATAATGTGACCCAAAGCGCAGAACTAAAGCAAGTTTGGATGTATTTAAATTTGGGTGCTATAAACTGAAAAATATTGAATTGCGGTATCTAAGGTTTTATGGTCTTTGATGTGTAGTGGTGAATATTGAACTTGAAAAAAAGTTGTTTTAATATCTGAATAGGCAACAGTCTGGAAATAGTATAATAGTAAGAATATATGAATGTGAGTAATAAGGGATTATTCAACTCAAATAACAGGCACATCAACTCCCTATTTCTTTAGAGCTTTCATGAGAAGAATAGGCTAAATTGATTTGAGTGCAAGGGCAAAAGCTAAGCTCGGTATATAGGAAAGAGAGGGTAATTCAGCTTCAAGGGGAGAATGAACAGGTGGGACTGACTGAAATTGGAGAGACTCATTTGGAAGCACACGAACACATGTTGGTAAGCAGCCAAAGAGATCCCTGCCTGCAGTGGGGCTGGAATACAGGCACAAAGGGGGCTCTTGGTCCTCCCCAATCCTGAGGATCACCTCTCTTGTCTTCACAGAAAGTTCCAGAGGTAAGCCAGATCTGAGTCAGAAATAGCAACTGATAAGCCTCCTTATACACTTCAGAAATGTCTAAGTAAAATCAGCTAGAATCAGCAATTCCCAAAAAACAATTTGTATAAGCAAACTCAGAAATACAAACTTAACACCCACTACAGAGAAAAAGATTGATCGTCAGTCCTGGAATCTTTACAACCCACCTTTCTGATGAGAGAGGAGTCCACACACTGAATATGGACAATAACAACCTCACCACAGTGACTGAATTCATTCTCATGGGCATTACTGACCGTCCAGAGTGGGAGATTTTCCTTTTCCTGGTGTTTCTCAGCTTCTATCTTGTCACCGTCCTGGGAAACTTGGGCATGGTCATTCTCATCCAGGTGGACGTCCAGCTTCACAGCCCAATGTACTTCTTCCTGAGCCATCTCTCTGTGTTGGATGCCTGCTACTCTTCTGTCATCACTCCTCAGATTCTGGCCACACTGGCCACAGGCAAAACAGTCATCTCTTATGGTGACTGTGTTGCCCAGTTCTTCCTTTTCACCTTCTGTGCAAGTACAGAGTGTTTCCTGTTGGCAGTGATGGCCTATGTTGCTATTAGCAACCCACTACTCTACACTGTGGCCATGAGCCCCAGAAGATGCTGGAGTTTGGTGGTGGGGGCCTATGTGTGTGGGTTGTCTGGCTCCATTCAAAGAACCACATGTACTTTCTCCCTCTCTTTCTGTGGAGACAATAAGATTAACTTCTTCTTTTGTGACCTTCCACCCCTGCTGAAGCTGGCCTGCAGTGACACAACAAATGTTGAAATTATAATTGTCTTTTTTGGGAACTTTGTCATCTTGCTCAATGCGTTGGTCATACTCATTTCCTACCTGCTCATCATCAAGGCTGTCCTGAGGATGAAGTCTTCAGGGGGCAGAGGTAAAACGTTCTCCACATGTGTCTCCCACCTCACTGCTGTGGCTCTTTTCTTTGGGACCCTCACCTTCATGTACATAAGGAGTGGCTCAGGCAAATCCCTGGAAGAAGACAAAGTCGTGTCTGTCTTCTACACTGTGGTCATCCCCATGCTGAACCCTCTGATCTACAGCTTGAGAAATAAAGATGTGAAAGCTGCCTTCAGAAAGGTCACCAGTAAACTACAGGTTTCTCAGAGTGTTTAGAACTGAGTGAGGTGACCTCTCCTTTGTCAGTTTTGTGTGTGTCATTCATATCGTAATAGTCAGAGCAATGCATGTATGCTTTACCTATGAACAGAAATAATGGTGGGAAGTTGCTCCAGGTGAGAATAAAGGCTGTCACAAAATTTATATCCAACAATTAAAGCACATTTTTTATGTTGCTGTCTCCTTGCTGCTCTCTGATACCATCACTTAGAGAAGGTCTAAAGGATACTGTTTTTACTCTAATTTCTGGTACACTGTCCATCTTATCTCTGCTGATATTAATATTACTGTAGTGATTATGTCAAATGTTACATTTCAGGACTCCTATGATTTGAGTTAATTGACTTTTTGTCTCCTTTTTTATATATAACAGGTATAAGAGTCTTTCTTCTTTAATATTGCAGTGCATTTATTTATGATAAACCCAGAATAAAATTGTCTTGATTTTAAATTTTAAATTGTCTGGATAACTCACTGATTTCTGCTTTATTGATTGATTTGTGTGTGTGTTCTGTAGCCAGTGTTTGCTACTTTGTGGATTCCTTTCTTTCTTTCTTCCAACCTTCTCCACTCTTATTAACCCCCTAACACTAGATAGGAGATAAAAAAGGATGGAGGGGGAAGGTGTCAAAGTTACCCTTAGACTATTTCCTACTGAATAAAGGTATTGAGTTCCTTGGGGCAAGTTTGATTTTTTTCCCATAGGATATCTAATCCCTTCTCATTTCTTTGCCCATGACTAGTCAAACAGCAAGAAACAGCATCAAACCACCAACCAGCCTTCAACAGCAATCCCATCTCTCAGGGAACTGGCATTTATGTATCCTCTGAAAAGTTCCAAGAATTGCAGATGTCCCACATTTGCAGAAACTGTCTGAAGCTGGCAAAACCATGCCTCTGCTAGAGCATGAGGGAAGTCATAGTCAGCTGCTGTGAAGCAGCCTCTTATCCCCACACCTGGGATTAAAATGAAAATATATTCCCTTAACATTTGTGCGTGTGTGTGTGTGTGTGTGTGTGTGTGTGTGTTTAAAGAAACAAAACTACAGAAATTTCACTGCAGTGCTGTCTAACATTATGATATCAACCCTATATTCTAGCTACAATTCCATGACTATTGACAAATTTAATAATACTATGAACCAATGATGACAAAGGGCAGTGATCAGAAGAAAATGAATTAATCATTTCTATACACCAAGAAATCAAGTGGACTTTCATATTCATTTGGAGAAATAGATTTATGACACCACATAATCAAAGGTACCTCAAGGACAACTTTTCAGTTAAGGTAGATGGCTGTTCTTCCAGAGGACTCAGGTTAGTTTCAAGCACTCTAACGCATCTCACAGTCATCTGTAACCTCAGTTCTCAAGTTCTCACAGACACATTCAGACAAAGCCCCTGAACACATGTGTCTGTGCACTGAGCATGTGAAGTACCTCTACAAGGCTGGAAGTGGGCACCAAGTGACTTGGGACTGAAGTTACAGATGTCTGTGTGCTGCCTTGGGGTACTTGAAACTGATCCCCGGTGCTCTGGAGGAACAGCCATCTCTTAACTGCAGATCCATCTCTCTGTCCATCTCCAAGGACGTCATTTTAATTAATTTGTTTATTTTTTATTTATTTATTTATTTTTTTTACTGAGCATACTACTTTGTGCCTACAGAACTCTTATACCCAACTGTCATTTTGGAGATGTGAATTTTTTTTTCTCCATGTGGAAATAACTATTTAATTAGAATAGATGACTATAGAGTTTTCTGTTGGTTGGTTCTGTGTTAAGTACCTGGGCCATGTTGAGCTAGTAAACTTTGTAATATGCTTTGTGAACACAGAAACATACAAGAGACTCATACTAGGAAAGCATTTCATACAGGCACATAATAAAGAAATCACTGCAGAATTATGAAGAAATGCTTAATTTCCATAGTAATCAGGAATTTCACACTTAAAACCTCAATTTGCTGAATGGTTTTACAAAAATCAAAAAGCACCCTGTCTTCGTCTTGGCAAGGTTGTGTACGGTGGTGGGTATAAATTGGTTTAATAACTACATAAAGTAGTCTGACGTTTTGATATGAAAACCAAAGCACACAATGAGCAACATAGATAAACCAGTGACCTGGCTCTGTACTAGCAAACAACTCCTGCTTTAGGAGCACCACTCGGGCTGATTTCCAGGTTCATTCTTCCAGTTCTGAGTGTGCATGCTTTGGCTGGAACCAGATGTCATTTCAGAATATAAAGTGAATTTGAATATGAAAGCAAAGCACAGATGGCAATAAAGCAGGAAAAGTTAGCTATTTAAAAGATACCCCTTCTCCCTCAATGTAGGTAACTTAGAGCTATATACTTCTTTCTTATGAGTTTTAATTTTCCCCTTTAGGTTATGCTATGTTGTGTTTTCACTCAATTCTAAGATTTTTATTTCTTTTTTTTATTTCTCCAACAACTATTTAATTATTTAATAGTATGTTGTTTAATCTTCATAAGTTTTTGTATGGTCTATGCTCTTTTATGCTCCCGATTTATAGCTTTATTTCACCATTGTGATTACACAGAGTAAAAGTAATTATTTTAATTATTTTCCTCTATTTGTCAGACTGTCTTTGGATACTAATAGGAAATATATTCAGAGAAAATTTAATGTGCTGCTGAGAAGAATTTGAATTTTGTAGTGTTTTAAATGTTCTATAAATGTTTATTAACCCTCCCCACACACGCACACACTGTATCACGTAATTCAGATATTTTGGGTTATTTTTGTCTCTATTGACCTGCCATTTGGTGTAAGTGGAGTATTGAAATCAACCACTACTATCATGACTTTGCATCAAGTAGTATTTGGGTTATGAAACTGTATACACCCATGTTCCGTTTGCATGTGTTTAAAATTAAAATGCCTTCTTGATGGCTTGTTCTCTTAACCAGTATGAAATGATTTCCTTTATCTCTTCTAGAGTTTTGGTTGAAGTTTCTTTGTCCCAGATTGTAAAATTAGAACAATTGCTTGTTCCTAAACCTATTTCCTTGGAGCATCTTTTTCATCATTTAACCTCAAGAAGAATCTTTTTTTTTTTAATGGTTAGTTACATTTTCTTTGTTGCTTTTTGATTCAGTTCTGTGTGATTTCTTCCTTCCTGTGGCCTCATTTTTTTAATTTTATTTTCATTCAAAGGTTTCACTTTTTTTAATTCCTTCTCTTCAGTTCAAAGGCTTCCTTCAAGTATCTTGAACACATAGCTTAGCAGTCATAAACTCCTCCCCTCCCAATCTTTCCCTTTCTCCCCTTTCTGCTCTCATGCCCCTCCCCAAGTCCACTGATAGGGGAGGTCTTCTTTTCCTTCCTTCTGATCCTAGTCAATTAGATCTCATCAAGAGTGGCTGCATTGTCTTCTTCTGTGGCCAGTAAGGCTGCTCCCACCTCAGGGGGAGGTGACCAAAGAGCAGGCCAATCAATTCATGTCAGCGACAGTCCCTGTTTCAATTACTATGGAACCCACTTGGACACTGAATTGCCGTGGGGTACATCTGAGCAGGGGTCCTAGGAGGGTTTTTTTTTTAACCTTTTCTCTTTTACTGATATTGTAGCATTGCTAAGCATAATAGTTTGAAAAGACAGTTTTTCAGAACTTGAGTTATATTATTCTAACCTCTTGCGTTTAAAGTTTCTATTGAGAAATTCATGAGCATGCCTTTATGAGTAACTTGGTATTTCTCTTACCACTTAAAATAATACTTCCTTTTTTTTCTGTTCTCTTGGTAGTTTAATTATTGTGTGATGTGGGGTCTCTTTTCTTTTCTGATCTTGTCTGTTTGATGTTCCAAATGCTTCTTTTGTCTAGATTGTATATCTTCCTTAATTTTGAATATTTTCTTGATTAGGTTAAAATATTTTCTATTCCCTAGAATAAGATTACTCTCTTTGTCTTATAACCATAATTATTAGATGTAGTATTTTCATAGTTTCCCATATACCTTGTAAGTCTCCTTAGTGAATTTTGAGTCAGGAACCATGTGCTGGGGATATTTGTGAAGGTCTGAGGACAACTTACAAGGAGATAGTTCTTTAAAACTGGGTTGTGGAGATTTATCTCAGGTAGGTAAGGCTATGCAACATGATATTTAATCTTAATGACAAAAGAGAAATGTATCAAATTTCTCATGATTTTACAATTATTACCAAAAGGAAGATGAATAATACCATCACAAAATCAGTTCAACAGCAAGCTTATCTGGTTATAAAAAACAGAATATTCTCATTTCTGCATACCCTCTTTTACTTTCCTCCAGCCTGTCCTAATTTCCACTCTAGTTTGTATATAGAAAACATGAAAATCAGTAGACATAGTCTTACAACAGACTCATTTCAAAACACATTTAATTTCAGGAAGTGATGACAAATTTTGTCAAACCACACATATATATTTCTATCATCTGGCATCTTTAAAACTTTTGCTAGGCCAAATTATTGTTAAATATTAAAGTGTTTATCAAAACCTTGATACTTAGATGCATATGAGGTATGTTTCATTTTTGATGCTGATTATGCTACAGTATTTTGAATCCTAGAATACCAAGTAGGTGAAAGCAAACAGGCTAGGAGTCTATGGAAGAGGACATATGTTGTTAATGGACTTTTAAGAATCTATCATGGAGACCAAGCTGTCATGGTCACATCTGAATAAGGGGTCCAGGTCTTCTCCACGAATGGTCTTTGGTTGATGCATCAGTCTCCTCAGTACCCCGTGGACCCAGATGTTTTTTGGCTTTATTGGTCTCCTTATGTGGCTCCTGTCCCCTCCAGGTCCTTTTGTATCATCCCTTTTCCATAAGACTCCCGACGTTCTCTCCAAAGTTTGGCTGTGAGTCTCTGCATCTGCTTCGATCCCCTCCTGGGTACAGTCTTTTAGAAGACATCTGTGGTAGGCTCTCCTCTTGTTCCCTCTCCTTTTTTAAATATTATATTAGTTTATTTTCTTTACATCCCGA